TGCAAGGGAGGCCAGCTTGGCTGGAGGCAGCTCCGGCTGGTGCCCGCACCCTGCCCCACCTCCCCAGCCGTCACCAGGGACCCCATATGGGCTCTCGGGGACCGGCTCCCTGCAGTGCCGAGGCTGTCTGCTTGAGGCAGCCCCGTGGCATTCAATCAGGGACGGTGGCTTGTCCTGCTGCCACAGTGGGATCGCGTCCACCCCGCTGTCCCCAGGGCGTGTGGTCCCTTGCCGTGTGCGTGTCCCCGCTGGGGGAGCAGTCCACCCAAGGAGCTCAGGTGTTCAGGGTATGTTAGGTGAAATGATGCTTAAAGTATTTGGGGAGGAGGAAATAGAGGGAGGGAGATGCTTCATTTGCGCACCTGGGCTGGGCAGACCCATGGCTGCTGGGAACTGGGGCCAAAGCGGCTCTGGGGCAAACAGGAGGGATTTCATCCCAGTAATCTGGTGGGAAAAGCCGCTGCACCTCGGAAAGATCACAACCCCATGGTCTGCTTGGGGCCTGACTCCCTGGCACCAGTCTGGTGCGTGGAAGGACAGCACTGGGCCAAGGTCAAAGTAAAACTGAGCTTCAGACAGCGTCTGAGTGGGTCTCTGCAGCTCCTGCCTCTGTGCAGGGCCCCCCTGCAGCTGAAGGTGGGAGTTAATTAGCCTCGCTAATTTGTTTCCTGTGTGCAGGATGAGGCCCTGCTGGGAGGCAGCCAGGAACGGGAACGCAGCCCAGGACAGGCCAAGCCGTGCGAGCTGGGGCCGGGCTGGAGGGGCTGGGAAAGGACCAGGAAGGCGCGGTCGGAGCATCCCCTTTGAGTGGGGCTTTCCTGGGGGCGGCTTTCCCAGGAGCGAGCGCCCTGAGGCCTCCCGCTCTGCCCCCTCCAGATCAACGGGGTGGCCAGCGAGGACATGTCCCTGGCTGACACCCAGCAGCTCATCGAGCAGACGGAGGGGACCCTGACCCTGCTCATCCTCCGGGACCACCGTCAGTTCCTGGTTAACATCCCCGACATAGAAGACGACCAGAGCGACAGCTCCCGGATGGATGGTGAGGGGACATGGTGACGGGGCCGGGGACCAAACACACAGCACAGGGACTGGACAGTCACTAATGCATTTTCTCTCCTGCTGCTGCAGATATCTCTGACATCGACTCTGAACTGTCCCATCTGCCATCCCCTGAGACCTCCCCGCAACCTCCAGCTGGTGCCGGGATGAATTCACCATCGTAAGCCCTGCTCTGTCCCTATGAGCCCCGCTTTCCCCCGTCAGATCCCCCTGCGTTCTCTGCCTGTCTGGAGGGGCTGGTTCTCCTCCATCCTTGAGCCGTTTCACCCTGGAGGTGGGACTGCCATTTAGTCCCCAGCTTGCTCCACTGTCGCACTGCCCACTTGGCACTGCCTGCCCATGCCCATCCAGCGCCTGCCTCTGTGACCTGCCTAAATCCTGCCCCAACTTTGTTCCAGGGAGAGGAGACGATCGAACAGGGACCCTGCGGTCGACACGATCGTGGACAACGCTCGGGGCCCTGGTGAGTGAGCTCAGATCTGGCCGGGGGAGCTAAGGGCACTGAGGGAGCTCCCGGCTCCTGTGCGTCTCCACTGCCTGAACTCCCCTGGCATGCCTTGGCTCTCCCCGTGCCTTGGCTCTACCCG